CACCACGCTCCCTTTAAGCCAGCTAGGATACTCTTTCAGCAGACACACAATAGTGCTGGCCCCAGGTGGAATCCCCCCCAGGTGGTCCAGTCTAGGAACTGGGAGCCCCCTCCCCTCAGGCTGTCCCTCCCAGCTGTCGCTGTGCTGACCCCTAATGAGGGCTGCACTAGGAGGATCTCGGGGCTCCTTCCAGCCTGCGGCATCAGCTTCAGCCCAGCCCCTCATTTCACGGATGAGGGGCTGAGTCGAGTGTAATTTTATCAGCTGCCTCAGAAATCCACTGGGAAGGGGGGCTTCGAGGCACGCGAGGGGCTGCTGCCTCGTACTGAGGACCAACTGTGCCTCAGACACCCCGCTAGCTGAGCGCTTTATGTGACAGAACACTTCACCAGTGGGGCAACCGAGGCTTGAAGAGGGAGAACCAGCCCAGGGTTGCTGGACGAGTCACTGACTAAACTGTGTTCCCATCCCAGTCTGCCGGGCCCCAAATGGGAAGATTTGCTCCTCAGAATCAGTCAGAGGCAGAAGGGCTGCCCTTTCCGTTCCTCTGGGACTCTTAGGGCGCCACCCTCCTCTTCCCCCAGACAGCCAGACTTCTGCACCTAAGGCATATGGCCGCACACTGGAGTATTGGCCAGGGAAGTAGTTGACTTGCAAAATTGATGGGCAAGGGCTGAGGTACCAGAGACTTCTGATAAAGTTCCATGGCCCTTTGCCCAGCCCCTTCCCTGTCTCCATCCTAGCCAGCTTCCTGTGGCTGGGGTACAACCATCTGTATTATTCCCCACCCCCACTCCAGTTCCCACCTGGGATTGGGCTCCTGGGGTTGGAGTCTAGACAGACAAGAGCATCCTACTGAGACCAGAGGCAGCTCTGACAAGGGGCTGAAGGTTCCCATAGCAACAGCATCCCCCTCAGCTTGCAGCCACCCGATAAATAAATAATCAGGGTTTGGGGGTGGGGAGCTAAGGGCCTGGGGAAGGGCAGCCAGGCAGACTAGGTCTTGGAGGGAAGTGAGTGTGTGTGTCAGGCTTGAGGTATCTGGGAGGGGAGGGTAGGAGCGTCCAGGTGGGAGGAAACACGCATGGTGAAAGTGATCAGATGGAAGACTTGTCCTGTTTGTGACCCCTAAACTTGGGGGTGTTAGAGAGCAGGAAGAACGCTTGAGTTAGAACTGAGGTTTCCAGCTCTTGCATTTGGACACATCAGGGGAGTGGACACTGGCAATGGACAGGGCCAGAAGGTTAGGTTTACAGTGAATGCCAGACATGGTGGAGTGGGTTTGTAAACCCAGCACTCTGGAGGCTGAGGCAGGAGGATCTTGAATTGCAGAACAGCCTGGGCTCCAAGATCCTGTATGAGAAAAGAAAAATTGTATTCAGAGACCAACCAGTGGGTGATATAGCCAGCATTGAAGGTGCTGAAATAGCCTTAGGGTAGCGTGGTGATCCAAAGACTGTCAACCCCTGTTGGGACTTTGGGAGCATGGGAGAAGAAAAGAGAAGCAGACTTCCCAAGGATGCTTCTGGGAGGGTGCAGTGCACAGGATAGGGCCAAGGTCAGGGGATGGCAGTGTGGCGGTGGCACAGCCCAGGGAGGCCGCACATAACCCCATAGGCTCAACAATCAAGATGACAGCCAGGTGATGGTGGCGCATGCCTTTAGTCCCAGTGCTGGGAGTTCGAGGCCAACCTGATCTACATAGAGCAGTGGTTCTCAACCTTCCTAATGCTGCAACAGACCCTTTAATACAGTTCCTCATGTTGTTGTGACCCCAAACCGTAAAATTATTTTGCTGCTACTTCATAACCACCATTTTGCTACTGTTATTAATCATAATGTATGACAAAGTAACAGACCCCCAGAGACCACTTGCGGCTTCTGGTTCTAGCAGCCTTCCCTGCCCTTCCACCATTGGCTGCACAGAACAACTTGGTGGCACACACCTGCAATCCCAGCATTCCAGGAAAGAAAGTGAGACAGGATGTCACCAATAACCTTGGCTACCTGGTGAGTGTGAGCCCAGAGTGGGCTACATGAAGCCCCGTGGCCAAAAACGTTAATTAATTAAATAAAATAAAGGGCTGGGAAGATGACTCGGTGGTTAAAGCCCTTGCCACCGAGCGTGACAACCTGAGTTTGATCCCAGGAGCCCTAGATGCCCAAAAGTTGTCCCTCTAACTGCCGCATGCTCACTGTAGCACATTCGCTGCACACATAGCATAATGATAATAATAACAATAAAGTTACATTTTATGAACGATGGTGGTGACGCACACCTGGGAGCCTCGCAGCAGGAAGAGAGGTCAGGAAGTTTCTGGGAGTGCAAGACCGGAAACTGAGCTACTCACTGTGCACCCAGGCTGGACTTGAACTCTGATTCTTCTGCTCCCACCTCCCAAGTGCTGGGATCATGGTTGTACACCACCAACTCTCAGCAAGTTCTTTAGTATCCAAGATGGAGTTTGTTTGCTTGCTTGTTTTTCTAAGACAAGGTTTCTCTGTGTAGCCCTGGCTGTCCTGGAACTTGCTCTGTAAACCAAGCTGGCCTCCAACTCAGGGATCCACCTGCCTCTGTCTCCCGAGTGCTGGGATTAAAGGCATGTGCCACAATGCCAGACAGTATCCAAGATGTTTATTGGGAATGTTTCCCACTCATCTTGAGTCAAGGTGTGCTTAGCTGGCAAATTAGAATAAAGCATTTTTTAAATTTTTTATTTATTAATGCATATATTCTGTCTCCATGTATGCCTGCACGCCAGAAGAAGCCATCAGATCTCATTATAGATGGTTGTGAGCCACCATGTGGTTGCTGGGAATGGAACTCAGGACCTCTGAAAGAGCAGTCAGTGCTCTTAGCCTCTGAGCCATCTCTCCAGCCCCTTGAATAAAACATTTTATTGTATACATCCTCTCTCCATTTATGAATTTATCGTGTGTGTGTATGTACAGGCCCACTTATGCCAAAATGTACATGTGAGATCAGAAAACAGTATGCAGGAATTGGTTTTCTCCTACCACGTGGGCTTTGAAGATTGAACTTGGATTGTCGGACGTGGTAGCAAGTGCCTTCTTTACCCACTGAGCCGTCCCCCCACCCAACTCCCATACCAGTTTGAATTTTTAAAAGTGTCTTTTGTGTGTGTGTTTTGAGACAAGGTGCTACTGTGTAACCCAGACTGGCTCTGATTTGGGGTCCCTTTGTCTCTGCCTCCTGAGTCCTGGAATTATGAGGTATACTACTATACTACCACACTAGACAAAGGCTGTCTTGACATCTGTCTCTCTGAGGCCTGGAGTTTGTGACTAGCCTTGTGCTGTATGATTTCCCAACCCACTTTACACTATTTCCAAAGGGTGGGGACCTCAGAGCCTGCACAGGTGATGTATACTAACTGTTCTGAGATGTGGAGGAGCTAGTGGATGGGACACACTGTGTGTCAGGTGGATGGTGACCCTGTCAGAGCTCAGTGCTGGAGTGGATAGGTGATGGCTATGAGGGGCAGGAATGCAGCATCCAGGGTTAGGGATGGAGCCACCTGGGGTCCTGCCACCCGTGGAAGGTGAGAGTTGAGCTGTATTTCCACAACCCAGGAGACCTTGGGAAAAGGAAAGGAGGTGGAGGCTCCAGTTCTAAATTCAGTTGCTGAAAGCATAGAAGTCAGGGGACAGTAAGGCGGCATAAAGTCACCTGATGCTAGATCTGATAACGTGAACTTTATTCCTGGGACCTACATGGTAGAAGAAGAGAAATGGCTCTTGCGGGTTGTCCTCTGGTCAGCGCACACGCACGCGCGTGCACCCGCATGCACACACAAATAAAATTTTAAAAAAAAGAGAGAGACAGTGGAGTGAGGAAGAGGATGTGCCTAGTGAGTCCTTCCCCAAGGTCAGCCAGCCACCCAGTCAGGGCTGGATTGTGGAGTCCATTAATCCTTATGTATAGGTGAGGAGCCTGAGGCGCCCAACAGGGCAGGTGACCTGGCCAAAGTCCCCCAGCAGACAGAGGCACACTCCCCTCTCCCCACCTGTGCCCCTTGACTCCAGAGCCAGGGCCCGCTGGGAAGCATGGTACCTTGGTATTTAGATGAGACAGGTGGCAGAGAAAGGTCTGCTCTGCCACCTGCCTGCTGTGTGACCTTGGGCAAGTCATTTGTTCCATCTGAACTACATGCTCTCTTTTCACGATGACGTAAGAGCCCAGATCCGTCTTCCTGCCAAGGCGTGTGCAGGGAGAGATGAACTTGGGATGCCTCTGACCATCTGCAGCGCCCTGTGAGGGCTGTCACCAGCAAGAGGCAGATGGGAAGGTGCCCATGCCCAAGCTTGGCATGACCAGGCTCCCCTCATATCCTGCCCAAGCCTGCAGCTTCTTTGGTCTCTTCCCAGGCTGTGCCATCTGTGTGGTGGCATCAGCCTGTACCATCCTGCTGCCCTGGCAGGAAGAGACCCTGGGATCTCTCACTTGATTCAAACCCCCCCACCCATCCACCCTCATTCCTAAGCAAGCCCTCTGCTTCACTCTGGGGATATTCTTGTTCGGTTTTAGTGCTGAGAAGCCAGCCTAAGGTTTGGACATGCTGGACAAGTGCTTTCCCGCTGAGCTATATTCTCAATCCCCCAGTCTAGAAAAATTAATTACATTCATTTATTTGGAGGAAGCCTTATGCATATCAGAGGACCCATTGTGGGATTCGGTTCTCTCACCATTTGGGTCCTGGGGATCAACTTCAGGTAGTCAGGCTCAGTGGCCAGCACCTGCATCCTCTCAGCCATCCTGCCCCGCCCCCACCCCCACCCCATGTCTATTTGTTTTGAGAGATGGTCTTACTGGACTTGCCAGCAGGAAGGAGACCTGGCTCAGATTCCCACTCCTACCCCAAAGTCACGGTCAGCTGTAGAGGACGGACTTCCTCTTGCATTACTCCGGGCTGAGGGACCGGGTGTCTTGAGTCTCTGTCCTTTTGCATGGCAGTTGTCTCAGTCTGTCTCTTCCACAGGTGGCTGCGCTCCAGCGACAGATCTTTGATTTCCTGGGCTACCAGTGGGCTCCCATCCTGGCCAACTTCCTACACATCATGGCTGTTATCCTGGGCATCTTTGGCACCGTGCAGTATCGATCCCGGTATCTCATTCTGGTACGTCCCTTTCCTTGCCCCTGTCTCCTACCCATGAGCCCAAAGGGACAGAAATACCCAAACCTCAAGGTCATGCACTCACAACATACCAGGATGGTATTTTTCACTAGAGAATCTTCCCAGGGGATAAACGTAAGATATTTCATAAGCAAGATATGTCAACATGGGGCTGGAGAGATGGCTTAGAGTTTAAGAACACCGACTGCTCCTCCAGAGGTCCTGAGTTCAATTCCCAGCAACCACATGGTGGCTCACAACCATCTGTAATGAGATCTGGTGCCCTCTTCTGGCCTGCAGGCATACATGCAGGAGCAACACTGTATACATGATAGATAGATAGATAGATAGATAGATAGATAGATAGATAGATAGATAGATGATAGATAGATAATCTTAACAAGAGAGTTATGTCTCCTGTCCAGGGTAGGCCAGGCAGAGTGCTCAGTTCTACCTCTGTGTCCCATCATTAAAGCAGCTCCACCACCTCACCACACAGCTGAGGAAGAGGCTCAGAGTGGTTAAGAGTCTTCCTCAGGTCACACAGCTAAGAAAGGCAGAGCCAGGTGTGGAGTGAGGGTTCCTTTCTACACTGTCACTGTCCATAAGCTATGGGGACAAAGAAGGAGTGGGCCGCATCCAGCTATGTTTCCCAGGGTAGCAAGGAAGCATCAGGAAGTCACAGCTTCTGTCTCTACTGACTGCCGTTCACTGAGGGCGTGGTCTGGCAGGTGCAGCATGGTGATGCATATCTGTAATCCTAGAATTTGTGAGACAGAGGCAGTGTCATTGAGAGTTCAAGATAGCCTGGGCTATGCAGTGAGACCATATCTTAACAAACAAACAAACAAACGCGGTTTGTCTGAAGGTAGCTGTTGTGGCCTTTTGAGATCAGTGGTTCCTGTGCTCCAGCCCCAAGGGTCTGACAGCATTCCCAGAGCTCTCCCCTGCTAATGGTCTGCTAGACTTTTAGCCTCAGAGGCCCTCAGCCATGCGCCCTGCTGGGCCTCAGTGCCTCTTCAGCCAGCCATATCAAGGAACAGCTTTTTTAACCTACATCCATACTTGATACCAGGACATGCAGTGTCATGCTACCAGTGGCCCATCCTGCTCATTCTAGTGTTGGACTAGAAGTCCAAACATCAGGGAGGAGTTGCTCCAGACACCACTCTAATAACCACAACTGATGCAAAAGCAAGGACCCTTCATGTTCGGGATATGAAGGACATCGATAGCTGTTACAGTCCATCTTTCAAAGCAATAAGCCACAGACACAAGGGGGGGACCTGTAGGTTGTTTTCCAACTTATTGGGTTGGCTTATTCAAAGAGTTATTAGCAGTGATTTGTCTATTCCATAGCAGGAGAATAGCTGTGTGATCAGGTAGATAAGGGGAGCATCTGTGGTCCTTCCTGACCTTGTTCTAGTGACTAAATCAATACATCAGGAACTGAATCAACATCTGTGGGTTGTCTTTGCCTCAATTCCCAGAATGGAGTTATGCTTGAAGATTATTCATAAGGACACAGAAGGATGAGCAGTCCAGCATGTGTGTGTGTGGGCGACTGTCCCGTTTCCAAGAGAGAGTGAGTGTAAGGTTTTAGAAAAATGTCTTGGGGCTGGAGAGATGGCTCAGTGGTTAAGAGCATTGCCTGCTCTTCCAAAGGTCCTGAGTTCAATTCCTGGCAACCACATGGTGGCTCACAACCATCTGTAATGAGGTCTGGTGCCCTCTTCTGGCCTGCAGACATACACACAGAATATTGTATACATAATAAATAAATAAATATTAAAAAAAAGAAAAATGTCTTAGGGTTGAGGGGGCTTACAAATTCATTTAGAGTCTTTCACTAGGTCACCCTTTGGTTTCTAAGGCCAGCTCCACCATACTGGCTCTGGTGGCAGCTTCCCTCACCCACTGAGCCATCTCACCAGCCCTTGGAGTTTGTGTTTTTAAGATTTTATTTATTTATTTTTAATTAGGAAGGGGTGCACTTGAGTGTGGGTACCTGAGGAGATCAGAAGAGTACATTGGATCCCATGGACCTCAAGTTGCAGGTGGTTGTGAGCCTGCCCTTGTGTGGATGCTGGGAACAAAAATCTCATCTAAACTGCTGAGCCATCTCTCCAGCCCCAGTTTGGTTTTTGTTTTTGTTTTGTGTTGATTGATTGATTGATTGATTGATTGATTTTGAAACAGAGTTTTCTGGGTAGCCCTGGCTGTCCTGGAACCACTCTGTTCACCAGGCTGGCCTTGAACTCGAAGATCCACCTGCCTCTGCACAATAGAAGAGAACACCAGATCTCATTACAGATTGTTGTGAGCCACCATATGGTTGCTGGGACTTGAACTCAGGACCTCTGGAACAGCAGTCAGTGCTCTTAACCTCTGAGCCATCTCTCCAGTTCCTCCCAATTTGTGTTTTTAATAAACTACTCAATGTAATTGAAATACACATAGAGGAGGTCGCTCCACAAGAGCCTGGGCTAAGGGCCAGCCCTTCATCCCAGCTGTGTGATCCAGAGAAGCTGAGCCTTCCTCTGGGCCTTCATAGAGCAGAGACGACATGCTTGCCTGCCCTGCAGGGCTGTGAGAGATGGATGTGGACTTGTAACCTCAGCTATAAAGATCCCCCTGCCCTTGCAGTCTGTCTTGATTGAGCCGCCTCAGCCCCCACCCTGATCTCCCCTCTGCTTTCCTCAGTACGCAGCCTGGCTGGTGCTCTGGGTTGGCTGGAACGCCTTCATCATCTGCTTCTACCTGGAGGTTGGACAGCTGTCCCAGGTAAGCCTCCGGCCTGGTGGTGTGCAGGGCACAGCCTGACCTTTGCCGTCCCTATGGGGGGACTGGGGCAGTGTGTCTCCCACACACCTTTACACTCAAGTAATCCGTGCGGCCGCTTGACCTCCATTTCTGTCCCTGACCTCTTCTGCATGTCTCCAAAACAACGATGGGACTGATGAGGCCAAGGAGCATTGGCTGTGAAGATGAGCTGAGGACTCTGTTGATCACAAGCTTAGTAAAAAACCAAAGGTGTGAAAACATCACACGTGTACTCCTCATCGCTTAGGCACAAAGATGTGGTAGGCCCAGGGCTGGTCAATCTTCTTCAGAAAGGAAAGAGACTAAATGGCATTTGTTCAGGGGAAATTGAACAAACTATGCCATATGGAGAAGAGCTGAAGAAAGTAGAGGTGTGGAGCTGCAAGAAGAGCAAGCCCGAGAGACACAACTCCTGTTTTTAGTTATGAAGGAGGCCACATATGTGAATAAGAACTTTGGCTTCATGGTTTGACCCTGCTCCGTTTAAGTTCCTGCTGAACACTGCCCGGCAGTTTGACAACTGGGCAAATGGCCTCTTCTAAGCTTCAGTTAGCTCTTTCTTTAGATTCATTTGTTATTTATTGTATGTGTACGGCTGTGTGGTAGTTACTTTTCTATTGCTGTGATAAAACGCCATGACCGAGGCGACTTATAAAAGAAAGAGCTTAGTTTGGGTTTCAGAGTCAGAGTCCAGGATGGCTGAGCAGGGGCTTGCAGCAGAAACACCTGAGAACTCACATCTTGATCCACAATCCCTGGGTGGAGGGGGAGATCAGGGTGCTGGCAGAGCCTCAGAGCCCCACCCCCGGTGACACGCCACCAACAAGGCCACGCCTTCTAATGCTTTCCAAACTGTCCCACCAACTGGGGACCAAATACTCAAACATATGACCTTATAGGAGCTATTCTCATTCAAACCACCATGGGGGGGGCTGGAGAGATGGCTCAGTGGTTAAGAGCATTGCCTGCTCTTCCAAAAGTCCTGAGTTCAATTCCCGGCAACCACATGGTGGCTCACAACCATCTGTAATGAGGTCTGGTGCCCTCTTCTGGCCTGCAGACATACACACAGACAGAATATTGTATACCTAATAAATAAATAAATATTAAAAAAATAAAAAAAAAAAAAAAAAAAAACAAACCACCATGGGGTGCTTTGGCTGGCTGTATGTCTCTCTGGACATCGTGTGTGCAGTGCTGGCAGAAACCAGAAGAGGGCAGATGAACCCTGGAACAGGAGTTACAGACAGATGGGAGCTGCCCATGTGGGTACTAGAAATAGAACCCCGATCCTCTGGAAGGGCAGTCGGTGTTCTTAACTGCTGAAACATCTCTCCAGCCCACCCCTCTTTGTTTTTATTTGTTTGTTTGTTTTGTTTTTTGAGACAGGGTCTCTTGTAGCTTTAGCAGGCATCAAACACTCCATAGCTAAGGATGACTTTGAACTCCTGACCCTCCATGTTTCCCCCCAAGTGCTGGGATTACAGTCATACCCCACTGCATGTGGTGCTGGGGAGGGACCCCAAGGCTTCTTTTATGCTAAATAAGCACTCTTCCACCTGAGCCGCATCCCCATCCCACATCCTTCTCTAAACCAGAGATGGTTCATTGGCCAAGTGCCTGAGTTCACATCCCCTGCAACCACAATAAAAGCCCTCCAGTGGTGTGTATCTGTAACCCCAGTACTGGGAGAGGCAGAGAAAGAGGTGTCCCAAGGGATTTCAGGACAGCCAGTCTAACCAAACTGTGAACTCTAGGGTCATTGAGAGGCCCTAACTCAAAAAATGAGGCAGGGTCAGAGAGGTGGTTCAATGGGTAAAACGCTTGTTTTGCAAGCCTGGTGACCCGGGTTCAATCCTGGACCCTGCAGTGGAAGGCGAAATGAGAACCAGCTCCCAAAAATTGTACTCAGACCTCTGGACATGTCCTGTGGCACTTGGGTACACACAGGTGTGCACATAGGCGCGCGCACACACACGTACGCACACACACACCAGCAATAATAAATGTAAAAGAAAAAAGGTGGGAGGGCAATTGAGGAAGCCAGCCAACTTTGACCTCCGGCCTCAGTATGTGCACATGTGTGTTCACACACGCGTGCACACACACACATACACATACACTAAAGTACAAGATGGGCATGGAGGTACACATCTTTAATCCTAGCACTCTGGAGGCAGAGTAGGCAGTTTTCTATGTTCAAGGCCAGCCTGGTCTACAGAGCAAGTTCTAGGGCAGCCAAGACTACACAGAGAAACCTGTCTTGAAAAACAAAAACAAACAAAAAAGTAGAGCCCCATGTGGTTACACAGGAGACGAAGCTCGATCCCGGGCCTGTGTGTTTGGCTTCTGGCCAGCATGGTGGCTGTTGGTCTGACTGAAGGAATAAAGGACTAACGGCATTGATGGGCACAAGGCTGCATGCACACCATGCCCTTCTCCATGTAACAAATGGGAGATTATGGAACAAGAAGAGAGATTTGTCCAGAGTCACACAAAGGGGACCAGTGGAAGCTTGTATTAAGGATTTCACCAATGCCTGGGGAGTTAGACCCTGTGCCTGTTAGTGTCCCTTCTTATTCTGAAATTCCGAGGCTCAACACTCACCCTTTTCCACTTCACTGATAGCAGGGTAGTGTCTACATGATCATCTACTGCCACCTGCTGGCAGTGTGTGGACTTGCAGGCTGTGACGGTGGTAGTGAGAGCCTAGGGAGTATCCTTCTGTCCCTCCCCACCGCTCAGTATCCCAGGCCCCTCTGCCCCCCAGGACCGGGACTTTATCATGACCTTCAACACATCCCTGCATCGCTCGTGGTGGATGGAGAATGGGCCCGGCTGCCTGGTGACTCCTGTTCTGAACTCGCGCCTGGCACTGGAGGACCACCATGTCATCTCCGTCACGGGCTGCCTGCTTGACTACCCTTACATTGAAGCCCTCAGCAGTGCCCTGCAGATCTTCCTAGCTGTAAGTCCTGTTCATCACCCACCCCATCTTCCCAGAAGTGCAGAGTCCAACCCATCCTGTTCTTTAGTCCCAGTTAAGAGAGGACAAGCCAGGTGTGGTGGCATATACCTTCAATTCCAACACTCAGGACACGCAGAGGCAGGGGGATCAGGATCACAAGCTGGAGATCAGCCTAAATTACATAGTGAGTTTCAGACTCTCCTATCCCCCGAGAGAGAGAGAGAGAGAGAGAGAGAGAGAGAGAGAGAGAGAGAGGGGAACCTATGTACTCCAGCCTCCCTTGGCTCCACCTCCATCCCCCTCCCACCCTTCCCCCAGCTTCTAAGAAGGGCACAGACAAGTTTCATGAATGGGACAAGACTTCAGGCAAGCTCCTGCTGGACTTCACTATCTAACATGCCATGGGACCTTGGATAAACCTAAGCTTTCTTCCTGTTTGCATGGAAAAAGCAGTGCCAACCTGACAGGGTTGGGAGACTAAGAAAGGGGCTCCAAATAGGAGTCACAGCCAGGCATGGTAGTGTACACCTTGACCCCAGCACTTGGAAGGTAAAGGCAGGAGGATCCAGAGCTCAAGGCCAGCCTGGGCTACTTGAGACCATTAACCAGAGGGCTAGCCCTGTCCTAAGCACTTTACACGGGCAGGGTCACATAATCCTTTCACTTAACAGTTTGAGTGAGGTACAGCCCTGGGCTGACCTGGGAAGCCTGAGACACAAGCTGCTTGTCGGAAGTCACTCACACACACAGTCTTTGAGCGTTGGCATTTAACTTAAGTGTTTGCTTTGGCCAGGGTGCTGAGTCAGGTGTGTAGAGGGGGCAGGGACAACTTGTCTTGCTCTTCCTGACTGTCATACCCCCCCCCCCCCCCGCCAGCTGTTCGGCTTCGTGTTTGCCTGTTATGTGAGCAAAGTGTTCCTGGAAGAGGAGGACAGCTGTAAGTGCGGCTCCCCCGGGGAAGTAGGGTGACTTTTCAGCACCGTGGACAGGGCTTCCTCCCTCCCCCCCCCCTCCAGGGAGCCCCGGGGTCAGCTTGGGGACCCCGTTTCTAAGGAAAGAAGAGAGGGCAGGGGTGCATGAGGTCTTCGTACCCATTCTGGTTAGGACTCAGATGACCAGGTGCTCAGTCCAAGGCCCCAGAATCGCCCGTTCCCATTGCTGGCTCTAACCCAATTGAAGGTCTTAGAGCCTTAGGGCCTTCCTTTAACCTGGCCACCTCTCTCCTACTGCTGCCACTTGAGAACGGGGCACACTTGTCCTTCCCCTCTCCCACGCACGGCCCCGCTCTAGGTCCTCGTCCTGATTACGGGCATGGCCGTTCCCGGCACCACTCACTCCTCAGGCCGTGCTACCCAGGGAATGGAGTCCAGTCCTGGGTTTTTCACCTTCAGAGCTCTCATAACTCACCCCTTTCCTTCCGCAGTTGACTTCATCGGTGGCTTTGACTCCTATGGGTACCAGGCGCCGCAGAAGACGTCGCATTTACAGCTGCAACCTCTGTACACGTGGGTTCCTGTGCATGGGGGCGGGAGGTGGTGACTGGGTGTGGCTGGAGGCGGAGTCTGTAGTGTTGGTGGAGGGAAGGACGCAGAGGAGGCATGGGCACCCGGGTCTCTCTGCTCATCTACTCGCAGACCTGCAGATGCACCCCCTAAAACGTCTTTGTTTCCTGCAGGTCGGGGTAGCTTCTGCCCGGGACCTACCCGCATACCTGGGCAACTGGAGTTAGAAGCAGCACTGTAAGGAGCTCGGATCACGATGGGCAGGCGCTCTCCTTGGCTGCCCACAGGCTGACTGCACCTCGCGCAGCCTCTTCTGGATCTACTGCCCCTGGAGCAAATGCGGACTGAGACTCAAACTTGGACTTGACCTGGCTCTGGCTCTGGCCATGGCCCTTAGCAGCCGAACTTCAGGGTTGGGACTGGATGGGACTGGGGGGAGGGGGAATCGCTGGGTTTGTATTTTTTTTAATCTCAGCCTTGGTACGTGCCAGGGTCTCTCCCTCTTTCTTCAGATTCGCTCCTTACCTAGTATTTTGCCCTCAGTTCAAACAGCAAGACAGTCGGACTCATCCCCCATCTCATCCCTCATGTACCTGCCTTGGGGAACGACACTATGAACTAGGAGCAGGAGTCCTGGGCTCCAGCTGCAGGGGCATCTCTGATATCCTGCGTGACATCTGGCAGAGCCTTTACTCTCTCTGGGCCTCAGTTTCCCCACCTCAGATAATTAAAATAATCCCCGAGCAGATGACACTTCCGGCGTGCTCATTTCTCAATTCCCTGGGCTACAATGCAGATGGGAAAACTGAGGCCCAGAGACGTGAAGTGACTCGTTTGAAGCCACACAGTAAGGCTTTAGTGGAGGCAGGCTTTGAATCCCGCAGGCTCTAATTTTAAACTCTGCAACCCAGGATCTGGCCTCCGGACTTGGTTTACACGCCCCCTTGCAGCGTGGGCATTCCCACACATTCACATACCATCACCACCACTCACCAGCTCCACTCTTAAAGCAATATACCAGTTTCTTCTCTTGTTGGGAACCAGACAGACAGAGCCCAAAGTCTTGAGTTCTACCTGACCCACAGGAAACCTTTGTAGTCTCAGCCTGCCCTTCTTTGGCAAACCTTTGAACCTCATCCTCCAGGAAAGCAGGGCCACCCCTCATCCTACCCTCCACCAGGTCCTTAAGCCTGGGTCTCCTATCCCATGATCCTTTGCTGCTACCCCGCCCCCTTCCCCTAGCAATCCTACTAAAGCCTTGATTCCTACACCTACTTCACCATTGTGGTCTCAGGAGGGAAGAAGATGGTGTCCAGGAGCACCGAAGGGGCAGAGTGGGGGTGTGGGTGGATTGTCAGCACCCCACCCTTCCTGGGGACAAGCAGAGAGGAAGCCTGTTCTCATCACCTCCCTCCACAGATGCCCTGAGGACCCTGTGTCCTGAGTTCGCTTGGTGATGTGTCCAGAGAGTAGCCGTCAATGCCCCATCTCTGGAACTGGAGCCTCCCTGACTATGAAGCCTATCAGAGAGCTTGGGCAGTGGAGACAGTTCACACCACACTGTGGTGAATTCCCCATTCTCCATTCCAGGCTTGCCTGAGTTAGGATGGCAAACCTACTCCACTGTCCCATCCAAAATGCCACACGGAACAGCCAGGCCCAGGAGCCCCTCTGGTCCTCACAGGTCCCTGGCTGGTGAGCCACATCAGAGGGTGACAGACTTCCTTTAGGCCAGGCTGCCTCTTGTCACCTGCAGCCCTCACTTCTCCCATCCCTTCCCCAGGCCTCTTTCTACTCAAGGGTTTAGCCACTGATGATTTGAAGACTTTCGGTTTTATAAGCCGGGTTTTGCAGGGGGACTGGGTTTGCTTCTCAGTGAGACCTTATGGACTGGGACCTCCCTGGTATCCATGCAGGTGGTTTGATTAAAAAAGGTGTTTTCTTCACTGTGTGCCTGTCCTGCCCTATAGTCAGAAAGACCTCCAAAAGGGAAAGTCCCTGCCAAAAAAATGGGCAAAGCTGGGTGGTCATTTCACTTTTAACATATATACATACATTTAGCTTTCTGTTAGAGACAGGGTCTCTCTGTGTAGCCCTGGCTCATCCAGAACTCACTATGTAGACCAGGGTGGCCTTGAACTCATAGACGTCTGTTTGCTTCTGCCTATGAAGTGCTGGGATTAAAGGAGTGTGCCACACTACACTTGCCCTTTTTGAAATATTTATAATAATATTGTGTTGGGGGGGGGGCTGTGTGCCACAGTGTTCATGTGGAGTTTGAAGGACAGCTTCGTGGAGTTTGCTATCTCATTCTACCTTTTTTTTCCCTTTCACTCTGTTTGTGTGTGTGTGTGTGTGTGGTGTGTGTGTGTGGTGTGGGAGTGGACTGACGCCCACAAGCCACAGAGCACACGGGAAGTCAGAGCACCACTCGCTAGAACCAGTTCTCTTCTACCATGGGAGTCCCAGGTATTGAACTCAGGCTTTAAGACTTACTTAGCAAGTGCCTTTTCCGGTGGAGCTAACTCCCCTTTGTGGGTTTGTCTTGAAACTGGGTTTCACTATATAGCTCAGTCTGTCCTAGAATTCATACTCTTCCTCCTTCAGGCTCCTCGGTGCTGGACTGAGTGTGCACCACCTTGCTTAGCCTTTATTATATATTCCTGAGGCCCTGGCTTCTGCCTCATACTGGCTTTGTGACTTTGGGCAAGTCACTGTCTCTGCCTTCCTCAAAACAGCACAGAGGCCAGGCAGTGGTGGTGCACGCCTCTAATCCTAGCACTTGAGAGGCTGAGGCAGTGGCTTTTGTGAATTTGAGGCCAGCCTGATCTACAGAGCGAGTTCCAAAACAACCAGGGCTGTTCAGAGAAATCCTGTCCCCCAAAAAGAGGCAGGGGGAGGGGAAAAGAAATGCAAAATGCTTTCTATTTTGTTTTCTTGGTAAGTGCCCATTCTGATGTTATTTCTGGGTCTCCTTTGCATCTTGGCTCATTTCTCTTTTTGACAGCTGATTCGCTTGCTTTGAATGAGCTATGTTTTGGTCACTGTTCTATTGCTGTGAAGAGACGCCATGACCACGGCAAGTTATAAAAGAAAGCATTTTAACTGGGGGCTTGCTTCCAGCTTCAGAGGGTGAGTTCCTGGCCATTGTGGTAGGGAGCGTGTGGCGGCACACAAGCAGGCATGGCGCTGCAGCAGTAGCTGAGAACTTAACATCTGATCTGTAAGTTGCAGGCTGAGAGAAAGCGAGACTGGGCTTTTTGAAAACTCAATGCCCACTCCCAGGAACACACCTCCTAATCTTTCCTAATCAGTCCACCAACTGGGAATCTAACATTCAAATACATGAGCCTGTGGGGGCAGTTCTCATTCAGACTACCTCAAGATGGCAGTCGGTGCTTTCCACATGGATTCCTGTCTCCTACTCTTGACAGTCTGGATCCTTCTGGTAACATAGCCCAAGAATCAGTATTTCCAGTTGACCCTGAATCTTGGGACACCTCCCTGGTCATACATGTGAAGCTGCTGCTTGCTCTTTTACAGTGACTCTTCCTGAGCCCAGGTCTTACACGAGGACACCAAGTCCCCTGTACTACGTCTGGGGACCATGCTTGGCCATGGCATTCAGAGAGGAAACTGAGAGCCCAGGGCAGGAGTCAAAGTATAGGAGGTGAACATGATGTCTGGGGTAAGATAATGGGATGACTGGAGGGAGTACCACTGGGGATGAACTAGCTTCCTATTAAGATGACCCATTGCCGCAACTTTAATAAAACTTCAGTGCCTTTTTCTTTCTCTTTTGAAACAGAGTCTCTCTATGTAGCCCTGGCCAGCCTGAAACTGACTGACTGACTTCCTTCCTTGCTTCCTTCCTTCCTTCCTTCCTTCCTTCCTTTTTTCCCTCTCCCTCTCCTTCCTTAGATAGGACTTGTTATACTATTCAGGTTGTCTTGAATTCCTGGGCTTAAGCATTCTCCCACCTCCCCCTGGACCATAGACATGTATCATCACAGCCCCAAATTCTTGAGCAACCTCCTCCCAATCACTGAGATAGTTATCTGGCCTTTGAAAATACTAAAAGTCTTGGCTGGGGAGATGGCTCAGCAGCTGAGAGCACTTGCTGCTCTTGAAGAGGACCTGAGTTAGGTTCCCATCATCCACATGGCTGCTCACAACCATCTGTAACTCTAGTTTCAGGGAATCCAATGCTCTCTTCTTCCCTCCTTGGGTACCAGGCACATGTATGTTGCAGGCATGCATGCAGGAGAGACTCATACATAAAAGTAAATATGCCTTTTAAAAAAATACTGTAAGTCATTGGAGATCCCACTCTAGTCTTCATGGTCTCCTGAATACCCACTAAGAGAGGTGGTTTAGGAGTTGTGGATAGAGCTCAGTTGGTAGAGTGCTTGCCTAGCACGTATGAAGCCTGGTACCACATAAACCGCATTCAGTTATACACGCTTGTAATCCCAGAATTTGGGAGAGAAACAGGAATTCAAGATCACCCTCAGCATGTATAGAGTTAGAAGCTAGCCTGAGATGCATAAGACCCCATTTCAACAAGCAAAAGAAAGTGACATCCTTGTCAGAATAATGCTGAGTATCTCCACTTGCCAGTCAGGAGACCAGGGTTTTATTCCTGATGCATCCTTTGGGGCTAAAGAAATGGCCTGGTGGTTAAGAGCACTTGCTACTCTTGCAGAGGACCCTAGTATGATTCTCAGCACTCACATATGACTTGCAACCATCTGTAACTTCAGTTCCAGGGGATCCAATGCCTTTATCTGCCTTCCACTGGCACTAGACATGCAAGTGGTGCACAGACATGCATGCAGGCATAATACCTGTGAAGAGGAAGAAGGAGGAGGAGGGAAGGAGGGAAAGGAAGGGGGGGAGGAGAAAAGAACAGCAAAGGGAAACACACCTTTGATCCCAGCACTTGGGAAGCAGAGGCAGGTGGATCTCTGAGTTCAAGACCAGCTTGGTCTACAGAGTGAGTTCCAGGACAGCCAGGGCTATACAGAGAAACCCTGTCTCAATAAAACAACAAATAAACAAAGAAGATCAAAAAGTAAAGAACAGCTTAGTTGGGTATCTCAGGCCCCAGATACATCCTGGTTGGACGGCACATGGTTGTGCTGATACGACCATGTCACCACATGAGCTCAGTGACTCAGCTGCGGAACAGAGAATGTCAGTTCTCAAAGGCAGCACCGACAAGCCTTGTGGTTGCTCCATAGCAAACATTTTCTGTGCCCTGGGCCAGGGTTTCTTGCTCCCTGATAGTTGAGCCATTGGTGCTGGTGGCATTTTTTTAAAGATTTATTTATTCATTATGTATACAGTGTTCTGTTTGCATATATGCCAGCAGGTCAGAAGAGGGCACAAGATCTCATTACAGATGGTTGTGAGCCACCCTGTGGTTGTTGGGAATTGCACTCAGAACCTCTGGAAGAACAGACAGTGCTCTTAACCTCTGAGTTATCTCTCCAGCCTCCCCCTTTTTAAAAAAGATTTTTTTTTTTTGGTTTTTCGAAACCCTCTGTGACTTTGGAGCCTGTCCTGGAACTTGTTCTGTAGACCAGGCTGGTCTCAAACTCACAGAAATCTGCCTGCCTCTGCCTCCTGAGTGCTGGGATTAAAGGCGTGCGCCACCATTGCCCGGCTAAGATTTATTTATGAATACAGTATTCTACCTGCATGTGTGTCTGTAGGCCAGAAGAGAGCACCAGATCTCATTATGGATGGTTGTGAGCCATGTGGTTGCTGGGAATTGAACTCAGGACCTCTGGAAGAGCAGTCAGTGCTCTTAACCTCTGAGCCATCTCTCCAGCCCCGCTGGTTGCATTTCATATTCAGTTGACATCCAGCAGTTTCCTACCTGCCCAGGTACTGTTGACCTGAGATCTTCATCCCATAGGGTCAATATTCCATATGCATCTTGTGTGTAGGTGGTAAGGTGAAGTTCTGGGGAGGATAAGTTTATTTTCATAGGTACACAGTTTGGGGGCTGGAGGGATGGCTCCTGGGTAGAGAGCACTGACTGCTCTTGTAGAGGACCGGAATTTGGTTTGCAGCACCACATCAGACAGCTCACACCGTTCCAGCTGCCTGTAACTCCAGCTCCAGGGGATCCGATGCCTTCACCCCCCATGGGCACCTGCATTTGCTTGCACAAACCCACACACAGACATAATTAAAACAAAAATAATAAAGTATATGGTTCTACATAGGACCTTGAAAAGCACCAATCTGATTTGGAATTTCCATCTTATGCTATGATTACCATTAGTGAATAAAGAAACTGCTTTGGACCTATAGCAGGGTAGAACTTAGGTAGACGTAGTTAGGCAGGGAAAACTGAGCTGAATGCTGAGAGGTGGAGTCAGAGGGAAGCCATGTAGTCCTGCTGGAGACAGACCACCAGAACTTTGCTGGTAAGGCACTGCCACATGGCAATATATAGATTAATAGAAATGGGCGAAATTAATATGTAAGAGTTAGCCAGTAAGAAGCTAGAGCTAATGGGACAAGCAGTGTTTTAAATAATATAATTTCTAGCCGGGCAGTGGTGGCACACGCCTTTAATCCCAGCACTCGGGAGGCAGAGGCAGGCGGATCTCTGGGAGTTCGAGGTCAGCCTGGTCTACAACAGCTAGTTCCAGGACAGGCACCAAAGCTACAGAGAAACCCTGTCTCGAAAAACCAATATATATATATATATATATATATATATATATATATATGTATGTATATATAATTTCTGTGTAGTTATTTTGGTTCTGGGCAGCTGGGATGAATAAGCTGTCTCCTCCAACACCAACCCATCCCCAAAACCATGTGTGTGTGCAGTTTTTCTTGTTACTGTTGTGATTTTCTGTTTTGTTTGTTTGTTAAAGGCAAGGTCGGATTATACAGCCTTGGCTGGCCCTGACAAACTCCAGATCCTCCCACCTCAGCTACCTGAGTGCTGGGATTACAGGCATCTGGTACACCAAACTGCTGATAAATATTTTTTGAGTGAATGGTAAATAATTAGACAATAATTATACGAGCACGGGGGTGGGGTGGGGGGGTGAGATAGACTCCAGAAATAACTCAGATTCCAGATACATCATGGTTCTACTCACAGCTATGTGGTACATGGTCATGCCGTTTTAAGCTTAGCTTACATATGGGAGAAGGCTACCATTTTATGGG